AGGACTACTCACCACGACCAAGTGGGATTTATTCCTGGGCTGCAAAGGTGGCTCAACATCTACAAATCAATCAGTGGGATACACAACATTAATAAAAGAAAGGACTTGGGGATCCCTGGGTGGCTCAGCGGATTAGCACCTGCCTTTGGCCCAGGGCGCAATGCTGCAGTCCTGGGATCGAGTCCCGCATCAGGCTCCGGCGTGGAGCCTGCTTCTTCTTCTGCCTGTGTCTCTGCCTCTCTCTCTCTGTGTGTGTGTGTGTGTGTCTATCATGAATGAATAAATAAATCTTAAAAAAATAAAATAAAATAAAAATAAAAGAAAGGACAAGAACCATATGATCCTCTCAATAGATGCAGAAAAAGCAATTGCCAAAATACATAACCCTTTCTTGACTAAAACTATCTGCAGTTTAGGGGATAGAGGACATACCTCAATGTCATAAAACTTATATACAGAAAACCCACAGGGACTATCATCCTCAACAGGGAAAAGCTGAGAGGTTTTCCTCTAAGGTCAGAAATAAGACAGGATGTCCACTCTCACCATTTTTATTCAACATAGTACTGGAAGTCCTAGCCTCAGCAATCAGACAACTAAAAGGAATAAAAGGCATCCAACCTGGCAAGGAAGAAGTCAAGCTTCCACTCACAGGTGAAATGATACTCTATGTAGAAAACCGAAAAGATCTGAGTAAAAAATTGCTAGAACTGATATAGGAATTCAGGCAAGTCACAGGATATAAAATCAGTGCACAGTAATCAGTTGCATCTATACACTAACAATGAGATTGAAGAAAGCGAAATCAAGGCATGGATTCCATTTACAATTGCCCCAAAAACCATGATACACCTAGGAATAAACCCAACCAAAGAGGTAAAGGATCTGTAATCTTAAAACTATAAAACACTAATGAAAGAAATTGAAGAGGACATGAAAAGATGGAAAAACATTCCAAGATCGAATCATGAATCAGAAGACAATCTGAATAAACTGATAGCAGGAAATAAAACTGAATAAGTAATTAAGAAAAAAAAAACAGCAAAAGTCCAGGTCCAGATGGCTTCATGGGTGAATTTAACCACACATTTAAAGACAGATTTACACCTATCCTTTTCAACTTATTCCAAAAAAATTAAGGAGGAAGGAATACTTCTAAACTCGTTTTATGAGGTCAGTTTTATCCTGATACAAAAACAAAAGATGCTACAAGAAAAAGAAAACAATTATAGGGCAATATCCCTGATGAACATAGATGCAAAAATCTTAAAGTATTAATTAGCCAACCAAATTCAACGATGCATTAAAAGAATCATACACTATCATCAAGTGGGATTCATCCAGGCATCCAAGGATAGTTTAATATCTGCAAATAAATGTGATACACCCCATCAACAAAATGAAGTATTAAAAAATCACATGATTATCTTAATAGGGGCAGAAAAAGCATTTGACAAAATAAAAATTCTGAACAAAGTTTGTATAGAGGAAATGTACTCAGCCTAATCAAGGCCATACATGACAAACCCACAGCCTACATGATAGTCAACATGAAAAGCTGAATGGTTTCCTCCCAGATTAGGAATGAGAAAGGATAGCTACTCTCCCCACTTTTACTCAATATGGTATTGGAAGTCCTCACCCCACCAATTAGGCAAGAAAAACAAATAAAAAGTATCCAAATTGGAAAGGAAGAAGAAAAACTGTCACTATTTGCAGATGACATGATACCATATATAGAAAACCCTAAAGCCTCCACCAAAAAATTATTAGAACAAATGAATTTAGTAATGTTGCAGGATACAAAATTAATATACAGAAATCTGTTGCATTTCTATGCACTAATAACAAACTATCAGAAAAAGAGATGAAGAAAACAATCCCATTTACAATTGCATCAAACAGAATGAAATACCTAGGAATAAATTTTTTAAAGATTTTTATTCATTCATTCATTCATTCATTCGAGAGAAAAGAGAGAGAAAGAGAGCATGGGCAGGGGGAGGAGCAGAAGGAGAGGGACAAGCAGACTCCATGATGAGCATGGAGCCAGACATGGATTTGGTCTTGGGTGCTCAAACTTATGACCCTGAGATCACGGCCTGAGCTGAAACCAAGAGTCAGATGCTCAACCAAATGGGCCACCCAGGTGCCCCAACCTAGGAATAAATTTAACCAATGAGGTAAAAGATCCATACTCTGAAAATTCTGAGTCACTGATAAAAGAAATTGAAGATGACACAAATAAATGGAAAGATACACCATACTCATAGATTGGAAGAATTAATATTGTTTAAATGTCCACACTACTCAAAGCAATCTACAGATACAATGCAACCCCCATCAAAATACCAATAGTATTTTCCATCGAACTAGAACAAATAATCCTAAAATTTGTGTGGAACTGCAAAAGACCCAAAATAGCAAAGCAATCTTGAGAGAGAGCAAAGTTGGAGGTATCATGCTTCCAGATCAAACTATACTACAAATCTGTGATAATCAAAACACAAAACAGGTATACAGATCAGTAGAACACAATGGGGAGCCTAGAAATAAACCCATGCTTATGCGGTCAATCTATAACAAAGGAGGAAAGAACAGACAATGTGGACAAGACAGTATCTTTAAAAAGCAGCCTGAGAAAACTAGGCAGGTACATGCAAAAGAATGAAACTGGACCATGTATTTTACACCATATTCAAAAATCAACTCAAAGTGGATTGAAAACTAAAACCATAAAACTCCTAGAAGAAAACCTAGACAGTAAGCTCTTTATCAGTCTCAATATTTTTTGGCTATGTCCCCTCAGTCCCCTCAGGCTATGTCCCCTCAGGCAGAAAAAAGCCAAAAATAAACAAATGGGACTAGGTCAAACTAAAAAGGGTTTTGCACAGAGAAGGAAACCATCAATAAAACAAAAAATAATCTACACACTGGGAGAAGATATTTGCAAATTAAATATCTGATAGGGGATTGATATCCAAAATACATAAAGGATTCATACAACTCAATAACAAAAAGCAAACAACCCAGTAAAAAAAATGGGCAGAGGACATGAACAGACATTTTTCCAAAGAAAACACACAAGTGGCCAACAGACACATGAAAAGATGATCAACATCTCTAATCATCAGTGAAATGCAAGTCAAAACAATAATGAGGTACTCACCTCACACCTGTAAGAATGTCTGTTATCAAAAAGACAAGAAATAACAAATGTTGGTGAAGGTGTGCGCTGTTGGTGGGAATGTAAAGTCAGGTAGCCACTGTGGAACACAGTATATGAGTTCCTCAATTAAACACAGACCTACCATCTGCTCTAGAAATTCCACTTCTGGGTACTTATCTGAAGGGAAAAAAACACTAATTCAAAAAGACATATGTACCACTATGTTTGTTGTGGCATTATTCACAATACCCAAGGTATGGAAGCAACCTAAGTGTGCACTGAGAGATGCATGGATACAGATTATATATATATGTATACATATAATATACATAAAATATATATAATCTTATATATAATATATATAATTGGATATATATTATAATATAATGTATAATATAATTATAATATATTATACATATATAATACATATTATATATATATATATAACTCAGCCCTAAAAAAAAAAGAAATTTGCCATTTTCAATAACATGGATGGTCCTAGAGGGTATTATGTTAAGTGAAATAGGTCAGAGAAAGACAAATACCATATAATTCCACTTATACTTGGAATCTTAAACACAAAACAAAACAGAAACAGACTTAAAAATACGGAGAACAAATAAGTGGAGGGGAGGCAGGTAGGCAAAATAGGTGAAGGGGATTAAGAGGTACTGAGTTCTAGTTATAAAATGAGTTATGAGGATGTAATGCACAACCTAGGCAATACAGTGAATAATATTTTAATGACCTTGTACAGTGATAGAGGGCAAGTAGATCTATGGTGGTGATCATTTCATAATTTACAAAAATATAGGTACTGTCTTGGACACCTGCAAGTAACACAATATCATAAGTCAATTTTAATTTCAGTTTTAGAGAGGTCAGATGAGCAGGTGGAGGGAGAAGCTATGCGGGACACCTCTACCCTCCCCTTGGTTTTGCTATGAGCCTAAAATTTCTGTAAAATAAAAAAGTAAAGTCTACTTAAAAAACAGCAACCTAATATTTTTTTTTAAAGGCCAGACGAGAACACAGAAAAGGCCACAGACGGTGCAGCAGTGGAGCAGTGGCTACTGCACAGGGCGGCGTGAGGCCTTAATACTCTTGATCCAAGTCCCGCTTCCCCGCCCGCGTGGGAAGGAGCCCGGTGCCGGCCACTCCCAGGCGCTGCACGGCCCCGGCGCCCGAGTCCCCCGCCCGAGCCCGCACGCGCAAGCGCAGGTCGGGGCGCGCCGCGGGCTCGGCAGGTGCGCCGCTGGCTGAAGCCCGGAGGCCCGGAGCGCGGTCGGGAAGGTGGGGCTCCCCCCCCACCCCACCGAGGCCAGGCGGCCCCCGCGTCGCAGCTCCTCCCGCTCGGCTGCAGAGGGAGCGCGCGAGGTACCCGGCGCCCGGCACACGGAGCCGGAGAGCGACGGGGCGGGGCCAGCGGCGGGGCGGGGGCGGGGCCGAGCCAGGGGGCGGGGCGGGGTAGGACAGGGGCGGGGCGATGTTGGACCAGGGGGCGGGGCAGGATCAGGGAGTCGGACGGGGGCAGGACGGGGGGGCGGGGCGAGGGGGACCTGAGGGCGGGGCGGGGCAGGACCAGGAGCCGGGTAGGACCGGAGGGTGGGGCGGGGCTAGGTAGACGCAGGGGGCGGGGCAGGGCAGGGTGGGGGCGGGGCTAGGCAGACGCAGGGGGCGGGGCAGGGCAGGACCGGGAGGCGGGGCGGGGCCGGGGGCGGGGCCTGGGCGGGGCGGGGCGGGGCGCCGGGAGTGTCGGGCCGCAGTTTAAGCGCGCGGAGGGGGCGGGCGGCTTCCCGGAGGCCGGCGAGCGGCGCGAGGAGCCGCGGCTGGGGCGGTTGCCCGCGGCGGCCGGCAGGGAGACGAGCCCGGCAGCATGATCCCGCTGGAGAAGCCGGGCGGCCGCGCCTCCCCCTCGGCCGGCGCGGCGGGGGCGGGGGCGGGGGCGGGCCGGAGCGTGTGCGCGCCGCGGAGGGCGCCCCCCGGCCGGGCTGGCGGGCTGCTCACGGAGATCCGCACGGCGGTGCGCAGCGAGCCCTTCCAGGACGGCTACAGCCTGAGCCCGGGCCGGGAGCTGGGCAGGTGAGGCCGCGGGGCGGGGCGGGGCGGGGCGCTCGGCGGGCTTGTGGCCTCGCTCGGCGGCGGGTTCCCGGCACGGGCCGGCGTGGGGGGCGCTGCCCGGGGGGGGGGGGTCCCGAGGGAGGGTCCCGGGGGGTGCCGGCCCCGCAGCCCCGTGCGCCCCGTGCCGTCCTGTGGCTGCGTCCGTGACAGCCTCATTTTCGGTTCTGGTTCTGGTTCTGGGTTCTGGGCTCTGGGCCGCTTTAGCTCTCAAACCCCCGGTGTGGAGCCCTGCGCCCCGCCCCGCCCGCGGCCGGGGGGCCCCCGCCCCTGGGGACCGGCTCCCCTTTTCCCTCCCGAGCCGTTTGCGGGAGTTGTGCAAAGCCCCGCTTCTGGGGTCGGGTCCGAACCCCCGTCGCCGGCCTCGGGGCGCCGGCCCAGGGCGCGCGCGCGGAGCGGGTTACGGTCGCCGAAGAGCCCCGCGTCGCGGCGGGGAAGGGGCCCGACTCTTAGGACCGCCCTCACCTGGCATCTGGGAGAGGGAGACGCTCCTCGTGGCCCCGGTCGCCAGCGGAGCTGACTTTCACTGTTCCTGGCGGCTTTTAGAAATAGCGTCGGTCGGTCGGTCGGTCGGTCGGTTGGTTGGTTGCTCGCTCGCTCGCTCGCTCGCAGGGGAACCGACCTTCACCACGTCCTACTGGACTCCAAATGCTAAAAAGGGAAAACGCCCCCAGGACCAGACGCACCTCGCTAGGGCGGGCGCTGATGAACCGGATCTGTCCGCGCTTTAAGTGTGACAAGGAAGACCTAGGGAGCTACCGACGCAGCTGGGCATTCGAATTCATCGAAATTCCAGGCATTCTGAAGTAGCCCTGGTCTGTTGAAAAGGGAACAGTAAGACTTCCTATCATTCGGTCGTCTGGCTTCATTCCACAGAAGGAAAACTTGGTGTCACACACCTGAAATATCTTCAGGTGGCAGGCACTGTCCTGTAGGGTTTGTGATAAATGATTTAATCTGAGAAAACTGGTTTGCACCCTAATCAGGTGTTGGTACTAATTCCTCTAGGGATGTTCCTTTCCTTCAACTCTTGTTTTTACCTGTATCATAGAATTCACTTGACTCTAGTGAATAGTTTGTCTTTTACGTATATTTTACGTATATGTCACATGTATTTATGTCCTTATATAAACTCTTTTTACCAAAGTAGTGACTTTTAAAGCAGCAGAACAATAGCTGCTTGATATAAGAGCCTAAAACTGGAAAACAAAATTAACGAATTGGTTTCTTTTTCTTTCTTTCTTTCTTTTTTTTTTTTTTTTGTTTGCCCTTGTTATGGAGAAGTTGAATGCAGTGGTGAAGAGCATGGGCTTTTGGAGTCAGTCTGTGCTTGAGTCTTATTTCCTTGTTATGTGTGCTTGAGTAACTAACTTAACCATCTATTGCCTCACAGTTGTGGAGAGAACTAAATAGAACACATCTACAGCAGCAGCACTAAGGCTGTGCCTTCCTGAGAGGGAGCCCTCAGTAAACGTAATTCATTGTGTGACAATCAATGTTCTTTGACATGTAACCAGAAAGCAAAAATAAGAAAACCTCCACGACTTTGTGCTTCTGTCTGTGGCAGAAGGGATGAGATCTCCTTGCAAAAGACACAGGAAGCGTTTAGAAGTCTCAGGAAAGCAAAAGTTCTGTTTTGTGTGATTAGCAGCCTTGAAGGTTTATAAATTTTGCCTGTAATATGACATAATTGCTTATTCATAATCTTTTCTGTAGTAAGAAAGTTGTCTCCTTTTCCAGCTGTGAACTGTGGCTGCATTTCTGATGATCTCATGATACAGAATGATCTCATTCTGATACAGAACTTACAAAATTACCTACGTTAACATCTTAACCATGTGGAGGAGAAACAGAAGATCCGTTTGTTAGAATTTACTATGGCCTCCCATTTAGTCAAAAATGTTGAAGAGGTGTGAAGAGCTAACTGTTCAGATGAAGAAACACTTCTTTTGGGAGTTTGTATTATTTTCTCTTACACAGAAAGCTTTCAGTGAAATGATTGAAGAGAATTTTTGAGATGGTCAATATTGGTTCTAGAGTAATAACAGAATATGATGTTGATTATTTTAAGAAATGTCATGTCACATTCTTTAAAAGTCTCCAGCAGGGTCCATAGCAACCTAAATGTGGATAAATATATGATGTAAAATTTTCTTTTGTTACTTGAGGCTTGACTTGTTATTCATAAAGTTTGTTGCCTTTCTTTTAGTGAGGGTATGTGCCAGTGTAAACCACATTGATGATTATAGGTGCAGGAGACATGACCTTGGGTTTTGAGGATTTTTTTTTTATAATGTTGATTTCTCTTGAGTTTGAAAGTACAGGAACAAATATGTGTTTCTAGAAATTCAATACTAATTTCACATTGAATGATTGCCTTACTTGTGTTTTCATTATCTAGCCCTCAACTTTAACATTTTTGATGCATTTATAAATTTTATCTTAAGAGAAAAAAAAAAAGATTTTTTAAGCCAAAAGAATGTCTTTTGTTTTCTACATAAATACATACAAATAGTTGAATTTACCTATGGGAAGAAAGATCAATGTATTCTCTGCTGAATTAATAACTTATTTATGAATGTATAGTTTTACAGTATACAAGTGCTTTCATATGTATTATTTAATTCTCACATGCATGTTTGAGAAGTCCCCCCCCCCTTTTTTTTTTAAGGTTTTATTTATGTATTTGAGAGAGAGAGCTCAAGCAGGGGGAGTGGCAGAGGAAAAGGGAGAAGAGCCCAACATAAGGCTCAATCGCAGGACCCTGGGATCATGACCTGAGCCCAAGGCAGATGCTTAACTGACTGAGCCACCCAGGTGCCCCTGGGAAGTCCCATTTTCAATGAGAAAACCCAAGGCAGAGATTGAGTCCAAGAAAGACTGTTGCGTTGGAACTCTTTGAAATCCCTCTATTGTATCAGCCACAGAAGATGTTTCTCAAAGGATAATCTGCAGTCTGTCTTGTAGCTAAAACAATTTCTCCTAGTTTTTATAAGAGGACATGAGTTCCATGTTGGGACAAACTCTGTGAAGCTTCCCTGTCATATGGTTCCCTCCTCCGTTGGGCCTTTAGGTAGGAGATGTTGTATCTTTTTCTCTCCAGAGCAGTTGGGAGTAACAGGAATAAGGAAGGATTTTTTTATCACAAAATAAGAGAATGTTCAAGCTGAAGGAGAGCAGATGTATTTCAGGAACTGTGTGTCCTTTACTTGGATTCATGGCTTCAGGTTTTTGTACCTTACAACTATGTAAGCATGTGTCATATGCTGTAATTCATAATTTCTTTAGAAATTAAGACCCTGCAGCAGAGGTGTATGGCTGGCTCAGTCATTTGAGCTACTGATTATTGATTTCTGCTCAGGTCGTGATCTCGAGGTCCTAGGGTCCAGCCCCAAGTAGGGCTCCACGCTCAGTGGGGAGTTTGCTTAAGGATTCTGTCCGCCCCCTCCACAGCTTGCTCGTGTGCTCTCTCTCAAATAAATGTTTTTAAAAAAATTTAAGACCCTTGTTAAGTAATATTGTCCATGTAGAAATTGACTTGTTTTAGGATGTATTTTATTTAAGATTTCTCATACACTAGTCATTAGTATGAAGAGTATTTACCAACAGTTGTGTGTAATCTGATATTTTTGGATGGACTAAAGGAAAATTGACTATGTTTGTGGTTCGGCAACAGGAGATACTTAGTATAGCTTCTAAGGCAGATAACTTCATTAAATCAACTTTTAATTTTGAAAAATTGGGACTAAAAATAAGAGGTTAATTTAAAATACATAAACTTAAGGATTTAATGAATTTCAACCTCTTTACAAAGCTGTGAGTAATAAGATTATATAAAATCGGATTATTGAACCAAATGCATTAGAAAGCTGAGTAGGTACAGTCATTGATTCACCTATTCAGGTAAAGAAGGAACTACATTTATTGAGGGAATTTTTGCACCAAGTAGAAAGTCAAAGACCACCTTCAAAACTCTTCTGTTCTAGGATTCTTTTTAATAAATTACTGTCATCATAGATCTGAAGTTGGAGCCCCAAATGATAAAAATAGCTACCGATTACTGATCATCTGTTGAATGCTATACGCTGTAGAGATGTAGTTTTGTTTAGTCTTTACTATCTTGCAAGGCAGTAAGTGCCGTCAGCGTAATCTTACAGATGGAGGAATTCAGGCTCAGAAAGGCCGAGTAAATTGCCTAAGATTACACAATTACTAGCCATAATTTAAAACAGTCTGTCTTTTAAAGCTTTGCCTGTTCTTGTCACTCATGCTGATATCTGATCTGATGGACGCACTGATTTTTACACTTAGGCTTGACAGATATTTTGGTTTTTGCTGTTTTTCTTTCAGAGGTAGGGAAGAGAGGTAGGATCTATTCTAGATGTTTCTTTTTTTTTAAATTTTTATTCTAGATGTTTCTTAAATGAAACTTCTTACACTTAATAGCACCCCAGTGTTCCTAAGTAAATGTTATATATTAAGCACAGAAGGCACTTTGCTAGGAGCTAGCAATTATCCGCAAATGTAATAAATCGGTCACTACTCCCTTTATCAGCAAGGTGACATGTCACATGGGAAGATTTTATGGGGAAAATAACATTTGAGCTGAGCCTTAAGGAATGGATGGAATTTCAGTACTAGTGATGAAAGATACTCCTCCAACCATTGGCAATAAAACAAGTAAGCACAGTGGCAGAAAAATTCAGTGAAAGAGGGTCGAGCAAGTAGTCCAATGTGATTCAAATATTAAACTTCATGAGGTTAAGTTGCCACAGAACTTTTATTTTATAAAATAACAAGAACAGCTGTATGTATTCAGGATGCTTGTGTGATATCCTGTTTGAGCACCTGCCATGTGCAGGGCACTGGGGAGATAAAAAGATGAATGATAAGTGAGGGCTGGCTGGGGAACTCCTCGCCTGGCTGGGGAGACAGGCATAGTACAGCACGTTACACGATTTCAGACCAGTGTGAATAATATAACACAGATGTAAACAAAGCATTTTATTATAGTCTGGGGCCAGACCTAGAACCACGATGATCCCTTTTGTTTTCCTTCCTCTCTCTACCACTCAAATTAGCATCTACAGTTTTTGATCTTTGAGAAACCTTATATATTTTGTTGGTAGCCCAACACTGGTGCTTACGCTTGGAAGAAATAGAATCATCTTTACAGAGAAGGGCACCTCAAACTTCTCCCATCCGAAAGCTAACACATTACCTTCCCCCCCACCCCCAAACCTGTTACCATTCTTATAATCAGCCTGTCAGTTGATGGTGCCACATTTATCTAGTACGCAGGTAAAAATCTACAAGTCCTCCTCAGCTTCCACTTTTCCCTTTTCCCCTCATCTCTCCTGCAAGTTCATCTGCCATGGAGTGCTAATGAACCTTGACCCCCTTTTATTTTATTTTATTTTATTTTATTTTTTTGTTGACCCCCTTTTAAATGCAGTGTCTTTTCCTAGCCTCTGGCTGCTGCTGTCTTAGTTCAGCCCACTACCTTGAATTATTTTATTGGTTTCCCTAGTTTCTAGTTAACATTTTGCAATATACTCTTCTTCACACTATCAGATTTAGCTTTTAAAAACCATTATTCTAAAAATTCTAACAAGTACCCATCTTTACCCTGAGAAAGCCCAAATTCCCTTAGCTTGTCATACTTACTTAAAGATGCTCATCACACCTTCCTAAGCTTTACCAGGTAGGCCTTGGCAGTGCGAAGATGACTAAAACCATCTAACTGGTGGATCTAACTCAGATGTCACTTCCTCTTGTTTATTGTTGACATATCTTTACTTTCCCACCGCTCTGCAATGTATTGAGTAGTTCTAAAATACGTGGATTTTTTTATTATCCCACCCCCCAACCCCTGCCAAAACTGTTCAATATCAACCTGAGTTGTCAGTTTAGTGTGTAATAGTGAACCATAGATGTTTGTGAAATGCTTGAAGAGCTCAAGAAATTGTAATGACTATGTATGTAGTCAGGAAGCATTTTGGCTAAATCCATAAAGAAAGTAGATGTGAAATAAACATACCGTTTGAACCTTATCAGCCTCAAGTCTGTATATTAACTGTGGCCACTAGTGTCAGAGAAACATTTATTTTATGCTTAGACAAAAGCCTGAGTAACCTAAAAACTCAGGGTTTAGGTACAGTCACGGTTTTTACCATGAAGCTGTGGTAAAACACGCATATTGGCATCCTTGTGGGGTGTGGAATTTAGGCCCTGGGGTGATGTAATCCTTAGTGTGTTCGCTAGGACTATGCACCTCGAATACTGAATCTCACATTTCTGGGTACTGTGTTGCTCTACAGAAGGAACAGATCCAGAAAACTCTTTTTATCTCCTTTGGACTCCTCCTTGAGCAATTTGAAGAGTTCCCCTCCCACTGTACCAGTCATGTAGAGATGAGGGCAATACAAGTTTCCCCCAAACTGTCCTGATCTGCTGTTCTTACTGCCGGTTTCAGTATGACAGTGATGGACGAGTTTTTCAGTGTGGGATGACTGGGGGTTGGCGGACTGCTGCTGCCACAAGATATAGAATGATTTCTACATTTTCAAATGGTTGAAAAAAATCCAAAGAGTAATATTTAATGAGATGGAATTTTTGTGAAATTCACACTTTTAGTGCTTGCAGTTTTTTGTTTTTTAAACACAGCTCCACCCATTCATTTACGTTTTGTCTGTGCTTTCATTTTATGATAGACTTGTATAGTGGCAACAGAGATGGTGCAAGACCAAAAATATTTGCCATCTGCCCCTTTACAGAAAAGTTTGCTGGCTCCCAATATAGTGCATGACACGGTGGAAAGAAAAGAATAAACCTAAAATGAGGAGTGCCTCCACAAAAACAAAGGTGGTGTTAAGAGTAGTTACTGGTGTGGGAGCAGAGCCATGGGAGCTGTGTTGCTGACCCTAAGAAGTGGTTGCATGGCCCCAGATGTCAAGTTAAGGATGGTTTTCTTCCCTATTTTTGTCTCTAGTTCCTGAATTTAGCAATAGCTCTTCTGTAGCAAGGGTTCGCAGAGTTTGTAGGTTTGCAATATGTGTGAATCTCTTTCTCTATTGAGTCCTTTGTCTTCCCTTCTATTCAAAAATACACATTCAGGCCAGACAGTAAGTAGTCTTACTTTAGTGCAGCATACGTATTGCCTGGAATGTTAGGTGTGTGAACAGTAAACATTTGTGTGTTTGACGGGGGAATATTTTGAAGGCAGTTTAGCTGAGTCATTTCTAATTTACCAGGAACACGCTTGTTGTCAATTATATTTATTGTTCAGTGTTTTATAAATGAAACTTTCTCTTTTTTTCTCCTCTTTTGAAACTTATGATGTATAAATATTAAAAGAATCAAAGTAGTAATGATTTTTTTCTCAAAAGAACCCAAAGGTCATTAGGAACCTTTTAAAACTTGATGGAGATATTAGTCTAATGATTTTGTGGGGTAAAATAAAAGGCATTAGTCTGTGATGAATAGGTTTACGATTTAATCCCTCGAAGCATCTCTAGGAGTCTTTTACATTTTTGTGAATGCAAAGAACTTTGATCTGAACAAGGGTGCTGTTAGGTAGATTGTCCCTTCTGTGGGCAGCTATGTTACAGATATGCCTAAGGGTGTATCATTTAACGTGTTTTGTTTTTTTTTTTTTTTCATTTAACGTTTTTTTTTTTAGTGGTGGCTACAAAAGCATAGAGCCCATGAAAAATATATTTGTGGTTAACAGTAGCTAGGAAGGAAGAATTAGTACTCTAAATTACATCAGTAGTCTGGACTGCTGGGTTCGAACTTAGAAGTTAGAATTTAACAGAATATGAAAGCCTTGCCTTTAATTTTTTAAAAACATTTAAAAAATTGGGCGCCTGGGAGGCTCAGTTGGTTAAGCATCCAGCTCTTGGTTTCGGCTCAGGCGGTGGGTACAGTGTCACACTCCACACTCAGTGTAGAGTCAGCTTGGGATCCCCTCTCCCTCTGCCTCTTTCCTGCTCTCTTTCTCTCAAATCAATCTTTAGAAAACAAACAAAAACCGTATTTTAAAAATATAGTATGAAGATACTGGCTTGAAAAACTTCAAAAGGAAAAGCATCTAGGTGGTTTATTTACCAGCTCAAATGAAATATGAAAAACCTGTCAAGTTTTTTTAAAGAAAGCAAATATTAGGTTGTATTGTACCAAGGTCAACAAAAGAATAATGATGTAACCCTTTGATCTGATTCTATTGGAAGGAATTGCTTCAGATTTGGTTGGCACATTTTATCAGCAGTTCTGATGAGCCATAATAGCGAGAAAGTCTTAAAAACGGTTATGGGATGAGAAATGATTGAAAATTGGAAAAGGGAGGGGCATGTGGGTGGCTCAGTTGGTGAAGCATCTGCCTTTGGCTCAGGTCAGGATCCCAGGGTCCTGCTGGGCTCCGTGGGGGAGTCTGCTGCTTCCTCTCCCTTTGTTTCTTCTCCCACCCCACTTGTACTCTTTTCTCTCCTCTCTCTCTCTCTCTCTCTCAAATAAATAAAATCTTAAAAAAAAAATTGGAAAATGAATTGGTAGTTAACAGATCCTGTTGGCTGCGTTCAGTACCTGATGGATTGGTATTTGGCAGACAAGGGTCTTTCTATGCTACTCAGCAAAAGGCCCAGGCCTAACAGGCCTTCACTTTAGGCTTGTAATGAAAAATCTTATTAAAATAATAAGCACTCAGAAGTGGAAGAGACTGCCTCACAGTTTGAAAGAAGACGTTGGCATTGGTATTTGGCAGTAGGTGAAAAAGAAAAAAAACACAAAAAAAAACAAAAAATCTGTGATTTCTAAGCTGCCTTCCAACTTAGAAATTGGCTGTTTATGGGTGATGACTATCACAAAATAATGATTTGTTTGATTAATAATAATTTATTTAGCGCTTACTATATGGCAAGCTCCATGCCAAGCAATTGATATGTATTACATACTTGAATTCTCACACAACCGTGTGAAATGGATTCTGGTACGTCTTCTTTGACAGATGAGGAAAATGAGATTTAAAAATGTGAAATCAAAAAATTAATTAATTAATTATTAAATTAAAAGGTTAAAAAAATTGCCCAAGGTTATGTGAGCTGCAGAGATATTTGCGGGATGCAAACCCACATCTAATTCCAGAATTCATACTCTTAATTTGCTTAGTTATACTGACTCCCCTGTGACTTGCTTATTAGTTTAGTAACAAATGATAATGTTGCATATCAAAATAATGTTTGTTGTATCTGTTTTTATAGGAAAAACTAGACATTTCCAGCTGATGCTGTAGCTGAAATATATAAATGAGATCTTGTATAGTTTTGGAAGGTGATAGAGTATTAGAGTCAACTCAGTTCTTTTAGGAATTTTGACAACCAGTTTCTCTCAACAAGCCAAATGGCTTTTCTCAAGATTTAAATCATTCTTCAGTATAAATGTGTTTAAAAAAAAAAAAAACTTATATAACTGAAAAGATATTGATTTTAATATTTGGTTATTCTTTATTTAGAAGGAATTTTCCAGGTTTACCAGTCACATTTTATTTGATTGTAGAAGTACCTATTCAACTCTTATGTGATAGTGCCGCTTTTGTGATTGAATATGATCTATATTTGAATATCCACTGATGAGTATTTGGAAATTTTATTAAAATTTACCATCCCTAGAAAGTTGTCAAATCTAACTGTGAATGTTTTTGTTTGATTCTAGGGGGAAATTTGCGGTGGTGAGGAAATGTATAAAGAAAGATTCTGGAAAGGAATTTGCAGCAAAGTTCATGAGAAAAAGAAGAAAAGGCCAAGATTGTCGGATGGAAATAATTCATGAGATTGCTGTTCTTGAACTAGCACAGGACAATCCTTGGGTCATTAATTTACATGAAGTCTATGAAACTCCATCAGAAATGATCTTAGTTCTGGAATAGTAAGTATTGTTTTCCTTAAATGGAATTTGATAGTCCACACTTCTTTATAGGATGCTAGTCATCTGGGGTACGTGTCGCAGCCTGGTACTCTGGAAATCTGAAGAGTTTTTAGAACTTTTCATGTGTTTCTTACACTAATTTGATATTTTTCAAACTAACAATCCATGCATATTAGGTTTTTTGTTTTCATTCTTTAACGAACTTCTGATAGTAAACTTCTCTTATTTACTAGTGGCATTCTTCAGAAAGTAAGTGATACCAAGGTAACAATAAAATAAGAGACATCTTACAATCCCTTACTGTTCATGTAGGCTGAGTTGGTAATCTCTTTCTTTCAGAAATAATTGTTTTGCTTCATACCATGTTTTCATTTACGTAGGGACGGTGTAGGAAACAGCTTTGGAAAATGAACAGTTTTTTCTTAAGAAATCCAGTTTTCCTCTTTGTTTCTCCTACCAAAGGAAATGATTGATAGATTTGACCACATTAAAAGCCTAACTTTGCATCAATAAAGACAAAATGAAAAGACAAGCTCAGGGAAAATAGTTCTCCTGTTTGTTCACCCAAAGTGCTTAACATTTCTTTGCTGTGTAACGAGGTACTACCGATTACACAACATGAACTTCCCAGTTTAAAAACAGTGGGCAAAGGATATGATAAACAAAATTTCAGTCAAGTAAAATTGAAGATCTGATCAGCTTTATGAAGTGAGTGCTTCTAGCAAGTGGAGGGCAGCTCCAAGGCGTTGTACAAAATGGACTGTTTTTCTAGTAAGAAGGGTTTGGCAAGAAGTTATTAGTGAAAGAAAGAAAAGGCTAGTTTGAGGCAGGATCACCTTCCCTTATGGGAAGGGCAGGGGGCCTTATTAGGTGGGTTACCTCATCTTCTGTTGGGGGATGGATAGGACCCAGGGGAGATTTCTCACTGATGCTGATCAGAAATTTTCTGACTGACTGGTTAAGACTTCTGTTTCTGGGGGAGGGAGAAACTGCAATTAGGTTCGGTATTAAGCTCCAGTTTGGTGGTTTGGTCTAAGTGATACCATTTTGGGCCCGTGCTTTTCTTTTACAGGTAAGAAGAGAAATTCCACATAGATGTACATATATAAGTGGCCTATATATAACACGAAAAATACTGATTCTTAGAACTTTTATACTGTAAACTTAAAAATAAATTTTCAGGGACGCCTGGGTGGCTCAGTGGTTGAGCGTCTGCCTTCTACTCAGGGTGTGGTCCTGGGGTCCCGGGATCAAGTCCTGCATCGGGTACCCTGTGGGGAGCTCGCTTCTCCCTCTGCCTCTGTCTGTGCCTCTCTCTCTCTCTGTGTGTGTCTCTTATGAATAAATAAATAAAAATCGAAAAAAAATTTTTCATTTTCCCCTGTAAGAGTGGCAACAATCATAAATAAAAAGTGATATTCATGGGTCAAGCCATCTGATTTATACTGCAGGTGGCAGTGTTAATTGGTGCAGCTTTTCTGGGGGGAGGACAGGCTAGAGTTATATAGCAAAAACTTAAAAAAAAAAAAAAAACTCTTTAATCCAGCAACTTCACTTACATATTTTTTCACAAGGGTATAATAAACGGGCAGTTGTACAAAGATGTGTCAGAAAATATTCAGTGAAGTTTTTTTTAATGTAACAAAAAAGAAATAACCCAATTGTTTAATAGAGAGGGATTGGTTGGTTAAATAAGTGATAATGTCACAAAGTGAATCGCTGTGTAATCATTTAGAAAGATAAGGTGGATATAAATGTTTCAACATAGATTTTTTAAAAATATTTTTAAAAAGATAAAAGAAGTGAAAATAGCGTGTGTAGTAGTGTTTTTGAAAAATTTAAGTCTGTTGAAAGAAGATTCTGGGTGGCTAAAATAGTGTCTTCCTCTTGATAATGTAATTCAAGAGCATTGTGTCCAAAATTTTAATCAGTAATTTCACTTATAGAAATCCCTTCTGAAGAAATTATAAAATGTGAACAGTGAGAAGCACAAATGTGTTTCAGAGTTTTTTTTTTTTTTTTAATTTATTTATTCATGAGAGACACAGAGAGAGAGAGGCAGAGACACAGGCAGAGGGAGAAGCAGGCTCCATACAGGGAGCCCGACGTGGGACTCGATCTCATGACCCCAGGATCACAACCTGAGCCGAAGGCAGAGGCTCAGCCACTGAGCCCCCAGGTCCCCCCGCACAGAGTATTTTTAATTCTAATAGTAAAAATATTAAAAATGATTGGGTGGGTAAGCAAATGTGTAGTATATGTGAATCTCCTCTGAATAGAGTTGTTTTCTAACCTAAAAAAAGCTTGGAGTAGGAATGTCGCATACAAGCCCTGCCTGCCTAGGTTTTCAGTTTCCGGGTTGTCTTGGAGCGAGTCAAGGCCGGATTGGAAGTTGATCTAGAAAAAATTTTACGAAATGTCATTCTGTGACCAGACCTGGTTCCTGTCCTGTTCTCACCAAACCTGCTCTTCAGCCTTTGCTGGTGGATTCTTCTCAGGGCTTCGTGGTCCAGCGACTCCCTGCCCTTCAGTAGCTGTGCACTCTCTGGCCGCACCTCACCCTGGCCTGCTCCCTCTTGGCCTCCCCCGCAGCTCCTGCCTGCAGCCTCCTGGCCTCCTGCACACCCCGCGAGGCCGCTGGGGCCTCCCGCCTGCTGGGCACAGGCCTGAGGAGTCCTCACCTGGGCTTTCGCTGGCCTCGGGTTGTTCTTGGCCTCCTGGCTCGTTCTCCTGAGGCCCGCCTCCCGCCAGGAGCTAACCCACACCTTTAGCACACTGGCCCGTCGCCTCCTGGCCATGGTTTCTCAGACACCGGCCTTCCTGCCCTGTGGAGCTGAGGCAGGCTGGCAGGCGCCCTCGTGCCCTCGCTCCGCGTCCCTCTGCCTCCACAGCCCTCACCTCCCCCCCCCTTTTTAATTTAATTTTATTTATTTTATTTATTCATGAGACACAGAGAGAGGCAGAGACACAGGCAGAGGGAGAAGCAGGCTCTGTGCAGGGAGCCCAATGCGGGACTCGATCCCAGGACCCCAGGGTCATGCCCTGGGCTGAAGGCAGATGCTTGACCCCTGCGTCACCCAGGGATCCCCTCACCTCCCCCTTCTGTCTGGAGTTTCCCCCCTTCACTCTGGGGCTGCCGCCTTCCCCTCTGCTCCTACCTTCTCTCCCTTCCTCTTCCAGGGCCCTTGGTTTGGTTTGAATCCGTTCACTGACCTCCCTCAGCCTTCCAGCCTCCTTCCAGGTGGTTCTTTCCCCTCGTCCTCTGGTGTCGCCCTCCCTCCTGTCCTAAACTTGCTTTTCCTCAGCTTTGATGGCCTGTGAGCCGCGGCCCTGGGCTTGTGCGTCCTCTTCTGCTGTGCTCCTTGCAGGAGCAGACTGAACTTACAGCGCTCCTCAGCTTCTAGTCGGTTCTGTGCCGGGCGCCACGGCTCTTCCGTCGGCTGCACCTGCTCTTCTCAGACCCCGTTCGCCAAGATCAGCTGCGCCCTGTAGTGCACTTCCACTCCTCACTCCTTACAAACTCCTTACGTACCTTCCTCCTTTAAATGATCTTCTGCTGCGGCTTCCATGGTCCTTTTTTTTTTTTTTTTTTTTAATCTTCCCTCGCAGCCTCTCCCCGCTTCCCCTGTAGGACTGCACGCCTCGCCAGAGTGCGTGAGAGTTGTTCTTGTCATACGCTTACTTTCTGTACGTTTACTGTGAATGATAACATTCCACGTTTGTGGCTTCAGCTACTCTTAACGTGTGATTATTTCCGAATCGTGGTCTCCAAACTTGGACCTTCTGAGTTCCACCTGCCTATCTCTGTCTCCAGCCACATCTCGTTATCAACCCAGGACCAATATGTGTGCCCTCCTGCATTGCCCTGATAATGCCTGCTTTTCCTTTGTTCCCCATTTCCAGTGTTAGCCCCATTTATTTCATAGCTCTTAGGCTAGAAACCTTGACTGTCTCTTTGTTTCCCTCATCTCCCTTAGAAGCTCGTATATTATAATAAATTACCAAGTCTTCCATTTAGTCCTCTCCTCTGCTCGTCCCTTTCACTTGGTGTCTATGTTGGGTCCTCATTGTCTCTCCCATGGACTCTTTCAGTACCTTCTTAGCTGATCACCCTGGCTTCGATTCTAGGACGTTCCTCAGGCTGCTGTTAGGTAACTAAGACATGGATGTGGTGATATTGTCCCCTTAGAAATCTGTGGTGGCTTCTCTTGCATCAGTGATCGTGGTTTCCGAACCACCCATCAGTATGATTTGACTAAAAATGTTTGTGTTCTACTTTTTGTTTGAAGGGAAAGTCTTAGAAATAGACTTTTAGATATTGAGATATCAAAATTCTTGGCCACATCAATAGATTGTTGTTAGGGAAACAGGCAGGTTTATGATCGCTGCGTCAATAATCCATTTCACTTACACTTAGGTACCTGCCATAGGTGGTAATAGGTGCTGGTGGCATAAAAGTGAAAACAGCCTAGTCCCTTCCCTCCAGGTGCCACAGGTTTAGTGAAGGAAGTGTAAATGCTTTGCAGCAATATTGATATTTTATTAGAAATGCTTGCTAGTTGCTATGGGAACACAGAGTATAATCATTGTGCTAAGAATTTACTAGGTGCCAGGCACTGTGCTAAATAAGTCTTTCGACCAGCTTGAAATAAATTATTTACGTGCTTTGTATACATTAGTTTTATTTTTAATTTTTTTTCCAGCTTTATTGAGGTATAGTTGATATAAAACATTTTGTAAGTTTGAGGTATAGAAGGTGTGGATTTGATACACTTCTGTATTGTGTAATGATGACCACCATAGCATTAGCTAACACCTGCATCACATAATTACCTTATTTGTGTGTGTGTGTGTGTGTGTGTGTGTTAAAAACATTTAAGATTTACTCTTAACAGCTTTCAAGTGTATAATATAGTAGTAGTAACTATCATCACTGTGCTGCACATAAAATCTCCAGAACTTCTTCATCTTATAACTGGAAGTTTGTACCCTTTGACCAG